ATCAATTTTTCAATTTTATGGCAATAAAAATTATATTATCCAGATATGAGTCGAGAGCCCTTTAGAGTAATATAAATTTAAGAATATTCATATCGATATTCATATCAAAATATCCTATAGTGATGGTGACTAATTTCCATAAATAATTAGCCACAGTAAAGAAACTGATTAACATCAAAAATTTCCTTATCTTATAAAGTAAAGAGAGTAACTCAAATGACGCTACGGTGCAACATATAATGTGGCTAGAATGTGTAATGATTTGAAATCAACGACGATCGACACACGAAATATGTGCATAAATACAGTGGCGCCAGTGGCGGTAATTCATCACCAAGAATTCAAAATAATAACTTAGATCAAGAAAATGAATTCATCAATGGTTAATGAAATTACTACTGTAAATTCCCATTATAGTAATGACAGTAATGTTATTACTCGTCCAATTATCTTTATTAATTCAAGTGACCCAGTTAACCCGAAGCAAACGATTACTCACAGTGATAACAGTCTAATGTTTAGACCTCCTTTTCCACCAGTACTTGAAGCCGGAGATATTTTTGGCAAAAAACAAAATGGAACCAATCCTACCAAGCCACCTAATGCATTCATTCTTTATCGTAGAGCATTTGTAAAGTCTGCTTTAGTTAATGGATATAAACTCCCAATGACTGTTATTTCTTCGATGGCTTCGCAAGCCTGGGAACAAGAATTGCCTTTTGTCAAAGATGAATACAAAAAGATTGCCAAAGAGGCAAAGAAAAATCATGACGCGTTATTTCCAAAAGTACCTAAACCAAGCGAGTCCAAAAGATGGCGTGTGTATCCAATTAAGCCAAAAAATATCTCTACACCAGAAAAAACCACACCTTTGACCGCAAATAAAGAATCGCTAATTAATTCTGAGCCATCTACACCTTCTACACTACAAATTGTTAATGAAAATGACGTAACTTCTAATGAATGGGAGCAGCTTTTCAACTTTTATGTTGATTTGAACAATGAAAAGAACGACGAGCAAAATGTTTTTATTTGGGAAGATTTCCTCGAGAATTACGACAACAGCAATCAAATGGATTATATGCCTGAACTTTCGACTGGAAATCAACGCGATACGTTCTTAAATATTGAAAATAGCGCTCAAAATTTTGATATAGAGCCAGAAATGGCTTTCGTTCATTTCGAACAAAATCAAATAAGCGAATCTCTGAATTCATTTGATTCGCTAATTGAATCTTATCAAGAAGTATCTCCTATTTCAGAACCTTTAGAATTTAGCTTCCCCAAAAAACCTGACAATTTTTTCGATCAAAATTTTTT